GCAGTAGAAAAAAACACATGCAGACAGAGAGATGGAGACAGACACAAACACAGACGATGTTGCCAGAAAATACACAAAGGGAACCAAAGTGAGAGGCACAACTAAAACGTGTGCTATTAGGACAAATAAGGCTATGACAGTCAGGCTGTAGCAGTAAATACAGAAAGAAGTGAGGGAAAATGGTTGGAGTGGGCAGAGAAAAGGAAAGCGGAGAAAATAAAGGAGAAATGTAAAGGATAAGTGGAGCGGGAAGAAGCTTAAAGTATTTCCCCAGGGAAACTGAAAATGTGAAGTAGCAGAGATGAGGGAGAGGAGGTCATTCAGGGTCTGTGGAAATGGTTAAAGGTTGCATTGGACAATTAAGATTTATGAGTCAGACAGATGTTTACAAATTAAAACAGTGGGGGTAAAGTCACGCATGTTTCTGCACATGTACTACATGCATATCTTAGCTGTTCTTCAGTCAGTAAACTCTGGTCTTGACTAAAGTTTTTTTTGAATCCCATTTCAACTGGTAAGGTTTTCTTTCAGCCTTTATTAGATGGAAAAGGAGAAAAGTGGGGGAAATGACACGCAGGAGATGGTCTGTGGCAGATATGAACACAAACAGCCTTTGGCATACGGGCTGCCTGTTTAACCACATGTACAGACGCTCCTGCAGCAAAAAAAGATCAGATTTTTGTAGTGTTCCTCTGCACACCACCACAGTGGATTTTAAATCAAACAATCAACATGTGATTGAAGCACAGACTTTCAGCTTTAACTCAAAGGCTTTAACAAACATATTGTACTGGCTGTTTAGGAATTACAGTCATTTTTTATGTACAGTTCCCCATTTTCAGAAGCTCAAAATGAATTGGACAGTTGACTCATAAGCAGGTTCGTGCCACACTGAGGCCTGTTTTCATGATAAATGTAGCACACGTAACACTGGAAGTTGTTTCAAACTGTTTAATTTGTAACTTTTGAAGTGGCCAAATCAAAAGTCTGTTACATTTCTAAAAAGAATGAATGCACTGGTTCTCTCAGCAACACCAACAGACCTGAAAGACCACAGAAGATGAAAGTGGATGATGACAGAATTATTTCCATGGTTAAGGAAAACAACTTTACAATATCTAATAATGTAAGAAGATTCTCTGGGA